GCCAGTTGTACATATGTAAGCACTAGATTCTAATTTAATAATACCAACATCTGTAACTGAAATATAAAGGAATTTTAAAGAACCCCTACATAATAATATCTTTAGTATAAAATTAAAGATAAGTGTACCATGGAAGCAGAAATTAGCATCAATCCACTATTTAGTATAGAACTTATTATGAAGACTCACTTTGTATATATGACTGTGTAAGTATAGATGTAGAAACAATTTAAAGACCTAATATTTAACTTTTACTCTTAAAATTATTGTTGCGAACAACTTGTATCCTTAAATTTCTTATAAGCAGTGTTTCCACTTCAAGGTACTGAAATGATTCATTTGGTAGTTGAGCATCAGGGATTTCTTAGGAAATCCCTTGGAGATCTCTGAGCTTTATTTGACCTGTTTTGTTGAGCATGTTCCCTCCTCCACAGTCAGTATCATGGAAGAAATACTTTCCCCTGAAATAGACCCAGACAATATTTCTGGAAAGTCTGTTGAAATTCCCTAGATCCCCAAACTACTGCCACTTGTGCTGGTCTCTCCTGTCTCTTCCTCTCCAGGGTGTTCTTGAAAATATTTTGAGACATAGCACAACCTCAGAGCTAAAATAATTAAACATTTTCTTACAAAATTGTAAGGTTGTTCTTCCCTCACTCAGAGGACAACTAATTTCTCCCAGTCCTGAAGTATCATGAATCCTGCGACTTACTTTTATTGCATTAGATGAAAGCAAATCATCCTGGATGAAGAGAATCTAAGAAGACTGGAGAGTTCAAGGCACATGTGAAGGCACTGACATAAGGAAGTAGTCTCTTTATATACCAGGTTTTCAGCGCTTAATGCATGATCACCATGTGAGTAATACCTGTTTGTCACTTTTGGAAAATAAAGTATTCCTTGTCTATGATAGAAAATAAGATTATATTTCTAACATATTATCCAATTAAATGGTTAAGTGTGATACTTTCACCTTTAGATATGTAGATCCTGATCTAAAATCTGTATTTTTTTCTCAAACAAATTTTATTAAATTTAATTTTATTGAATATTTCAAGTATTTGGTCTCATATACAATTAAAAGAAACATCCTGGAGTTAAAAACAGACAGTGTGAGCATAAGGAAAAACACAGAGCCTTAAACACATGAATTCACACCCACATACACACATATGCACACAAATAGAAAAGTAGGAGTGTGGTACAGATAAAGTCATTTTATCAAATTATAACCAACTCACTGACATACAATAAGTGGAAATTTTTCCTGACAAATGACAAATACTAAAAGCTTTATGGTAAACTAAAATCAAAATATCTTTTCTTATTTTCTACAGGAACTTGTAGAGTTTGGTACTTCTGCCAACATACACATTCTTAAGAATCATCTTTGAAATTAATGGTTACAAATAAATCCTGACAACATTTTGAATTTAAATAATGAGAAAGTTAGTATGCATTATAAATTAGTGTTACAATTGAAAATATGTTTCTTATTTATGCATAAATTTATCCTGCAGATCATTCTACAAGCAAGAAAGTTCAATGATTCATAAGCTCTTGCCAATCATGACTGAACAAGAGTCAGAAGCAGTGGTTATCAAAGTTATAATAGGAAAAATTGATTTATCTTTTATTATCCATTTATCCTTGGTTCTGTAAAATAGAAGATTTGGAGAGATAAATTCACTCTTCCAGGATTCCCTTGTAAAATAAATTATCTGCCAAATGTATTCACATCATATTTTGTAAATCTGTGCTTTACAGTATTATCTCAGTTAGAGGACGATGCCTTATCCTTGTCAAAAATGGAGAGTTGTGAGGTCATTATACCAGAATTAGTTTGATGTGCATCATTGCAATGTGGAAACTAAAACACAGTGCTTTTATGTAGAGATACGTCAGCATATCAGTCTATCACCAAGACAAATAGAGTGCAGGTTCCACAAACACGACAACAGATTTTTCATTTCTCAACCCACAGGTGCCCTGGATCAGGGAGTGTCAGACATTAGTAGACTGGACAAAGTGGGAGTGGCCTGACCTAGGAATGGCCCACCAGTTATCTTTGGAAAATACTGCATCAACAGGTGAGTGTTAATCAAGCCTTCAGGGCTTTCCAAAGGTACAGGGTTTTCTAAGCTACAATAGTTGACAATGACGTGTGATACTGGGAAACCGAGTTACATTTTCTGATTTGCACAAACATGAAATCCATGTTTAGTTAGATTTGGAAGTCCCAAAATACAGTCAGTGTGAACCAGAGAACTTTCTAGCCCTACCTATATGGAATCCATTTCATAGAATGAGTTCCTTCATATTTTTTCAGTGTTCTTAAAGCAATTCAGAGATGAGAAAGAATTTGCTGTATTATTCATCTGAGAATTAAGGCACAGAAACTAAGCAAAGCCAGGAACTATGTCTCTTAACAATGTTTGGTGTTATTTAGACCATGACAAGAGGATGAGAAAGTGTACTTTCTGCTGACTTTTGGAATTTTGAGTTTGAATTTTCATCATTCCTTCATTTTAAGACAGAAAATTGCCCCCAGGTTAGAAACAGATGAAACTGTAGGTAGTGGAACATTGCCTACTAGGCCAAGACTGAAGTAGGCAAATAATCTGGGGAGAAATTATTCTGAAAATACATACACAATGTTAACTGGTAAAAAATGTTTATCAAAAAAATAACCTGGCAGAACTTAGACAAGCACTAAACAATATTACCCTTTTTTAACCCTTCACACACCAATGTTTAAGTGCAACAGCTACACCCAAATAAACACCCTATCCTTCAGTGAGAATGACAGAAACTACTGAGATGACATTGTTCACACCGATCAAATGGCCTGCCTCTAGGTTTCTATAATGCAGCATAAATGTTTCATTAAACTTAAACTAACCTTTTATCATTTTCTATACTATATCTACTGCCTCTGGCCTGTTAAGATCTCCTTATGCTGAGTGTGTTTCTTCAGAGGACTGGCAGGTGGAGAACTCAAAGGAGCCATTTACCTGACCATCTCTGCCATTGATTGGCTATGCCCCTTGAACCTGGGGTAGAGGTGGGCTAGCTGTCAACCTCTCTGTGTCTTACTATCCGTAGTTTTGAAGTGACAGTAGTATTGGCACCTTACTCTCTTATTCACTGTGTCAATTAAAATTATTAATAAATAATAACTTCAACATCTTCAACAATTCATTAGTAATGATGACTATGACATTGCCAAAATAATTTTATTAGTAAAGTGCTTCAGGGACTTCTAAAGATGTATTTACTAATTTAGTGCCTAGAATCATCTTGTATCAAATTGATGACTTAGGCACAGAGGGTGTAAGTAACCTAACAAATGCCTGTGATAGTAAGGAGCAACAATAAGGAACACACACAGATATGTTGGTATCCTTGCTTTTAACCACTACATTTAACTTTGCCTGATGCACAATAAATACTCAACAAATGTATATTATCAATGTGTAATAATAATGAAAACAAACAATAAATCTAATTATTATTTTACCACTCTTATTTACTAACTGCTTATATACATTAATGTTTACTACATTTCAGATACTGTATACAAAATATGCCTATTCCTCTAAATAAACCTCATGGGCTCCACATATAATCTCTTGCTGTAATAAACTTAGTCACCTATAATATTAAGCAAATACCAAAAGGTAACTCACCCACTACGTGACAGACTCAGACAGAAAACAAGAATCTTTCTAAACTCTGATCTGTCCTTTTTCCTGTATTACACAAATCATAGATTACACAAATCATACATTAAAAACCTGTAAAAAAAAATCCACTTTTTTCCCAAATGAACTGGCTGAAATTCAGATATTGATTAAATTATTTTAATACCTTCTACACAAATCATAAATGTTCCAAAAAGTATCAACAAATGTTGAAAGTTGGATATTTTAAAGGCTGTGACTCTAAAATATGTACTACCATTTATTATTTTTCAAATATTCACACTCCTGGGATCATTTCTCAGGGTTAAAAATTCTTCCTGCTCACTGTTAAATTATTATTAATTGCAGTAAAATACAGGTAACATAAATTTCCATCTTATCCATTGTTAAGTGTACAGTCAAATAGTGTTATGTACACTCACATAGTTGGGAAACCATCTTCACACCATCTCCACAACTGTTTCTTTTGGCAAAAATGAAACTGTATCCATTAAACAATAACTCCAAGTTGCTTCAACCCCTCAGCCCTTCCCGCCACTGTTAGTCTATGTCTATATGAATTTATTCCAGGGACCTCTTATAAATGTAATCACATAGCATTTCTCATATTGTGACTGGGTTATTTTAATAATCAAATTGTACTCTATGTCAGCTCATGTTTAAAGATAACAAATAACCCAAGAAGCAATATTAAATATGCACATTATGAGAATGTGTAAATAAGTTTCCAGGAAGACCTTGGTTTTGCCTTTGCTTGCGTTTTCTTGTAACCGTTATTATGGTGTGAGGTAGAGTTTCCTGCAAGAGCTTGGACGGACGTTTGGCGCATTTCTTCCTAACTCGGTGTTAGATGTGACACTTGGAGGGGTTGGTGCAGCCATAATGGTGAAAATAACCCCACTGGACCACACAAACTTTAAATGGTCACCTTATCCATCTATTGAAGCTCCTTTTAACATTTGTGCGCCCATCACTGAAAGAGAAAACCAATGCGTCACTGCAACTTGGATTCACTAAAGTTAGTTAGCTGCTAGAATTACTACTTTAACATCTAAATTTATTTCTTGATACTGCTCTTCTTGTTTAATTTTTCACATTTTCAGGCTAATTGGCAAATATAGATGTTTATATATTAATTGTTAGTATTTATTATTTAAGGATAAACATACATTTCATAAATATGCTTATATACACATTATAAAATACACAAATTTAGATAATATATTGGCACAAGTAGATGACATTTCATTTGTTTCTATGATTTCAATTACAGAAAAGAGCTCACTCTTGGGGAGCATGCCATTGGATGAAGTGACCAACCACACAGGCATCACTGAGTTCCTCCTCCTGGGATTCTCTGAGGACCCGAGGATGCAAACCCTCCATGGCTGCCTGTTCCTCATGGCTTACCTGGCTGCCCTGTTAGGAAATGGACTCATCATCATGCTCATCACTTGGTATCCTCAGCTTCACACACCCATGTACTTCTTCCTGAAGAACCTGTCACTCATAGATGTCTGCTACATTTCTGACACTGTTCCTAAATTTGTTATTAACTCCCTGATGAACAGGAACACAATATCCTTCCTTGGATGTGTCTTCCAGGTGTTTTTCTTCATGTGTTTTGGTGCTGCTGAACTGGCCATCCTCATGGTGATGTCCTATGACCGCTACGTGGCCATCTGCCATTCACTGCACTATGAGACCATCATGGCCAAGGAGGCCTGTTGGCGGATGGTGGTGGCTTCATACATCAGTGCGGGAATCTATGGAGCCATGCACACGGCAGCAACATTTTCCACAACGTTTAGTTCAAATAAAGTCCATCACTTCTTCTGTGATATCCCTCAGATTATTTTGATCTCAGACACCAAAATGAACATAAATGAACTGTCAGTGACTGCAGTGAGTGCAATTATCTTACTAGTTTGTTTCCTCTCTATCTTATATTCATATGTGCACATCTTCTCTGCTGTCTCAAGGATCTCCTCCCTGGAGGGCAGGTCCAAAGCCCTCTCCACCTGCCTCCCTCATCTGGCTGTTGTGACTTTGTTTCTTTCAACAGGTGCCTTGGCCTACCTGAAGCCAGTCTCTGAGGTGATGTCAGATCTGGATATCATTCTGTCTATGTTTTACACAGTTGTGCCTCCATCATTGAATCCCATCATTTACAACCTTAGAAACAAGGACATAAAAGTAACTCTGGGAAAACTCCTTGGTATGATATCATGTATGTCCAATTAAATGCACTCAGGTAGTTTAGAAAGAAGTTTTTCTTTAGTTCCAATGTATATTGTTTTAAAATTCTATAATTTATGTGATGTGGATGTATATTAAAATTAATGTACTATTTTAGCCACTTGGAACAGGGATAGAGCTGACATTGCACAATGTTCTTAGGACACATGGAGAAAACACAGAGGTATCAGTGGAACATGATTTTTGTGGTACTTTGTTGACAGTGCCTTCAAAGTATATTTAGCAATATTAATAAATGGATTACAAAGAAATCTAGGCTTCCTCGTTGAAACACCAACATATGAGGGTAATAATATTTTTATTTAGTACAATATTTCAAAAATTATTGCATCAGCAGTGTTCTTTACAAACATAATCCAATGAAATTGGAACAACATTGACCTTCAAAAACCAAAATGATTCTACAATTTAGAAAATAAAATTTCCCTATATATTTTCTAGATTTGGTGATCTTACTGCTATATCATTTCATGGTGAATGAATCTCAGTGGGCACAGATTTGCCCAGGTATGAACCCCTGGCTCTTGGTATTTAGACTGCAAGACTGAGAGATTCCATTTTATCTTTATCATATAAAAATGAAGTTTTTCTCCCCTTTGCATGCCCATGTTTAATTAGAAATGGCAGGAGTGGGAGGGTGGAGGGAAGGATCCTTGCTCCTGTAACATTGTTTGTTTCTTCCTGACGACAGCCCGGTGCCCAAGGAGGCTCCTGCACATGATGGTGAGGCTGCAGGTCACTGTGTGCTGTGCTCAATCACTGCTCCACATGCTGCTGACACTGCACGTTCTGATCTGCCTCATGTGCCCTTCGGGTGTAATTCCCTGTGCTGTTTATGCCATTTTTTTTAGAAAAGCCTCCATGTCAACTAGTTGCGTGCATGACTGAGGTAATGTGACATGAACCTTAAGGGACATGTCCTCATGGTCAGGAGGCTCCTTCTCCTTGCCCCACCCCATAGTGCTCACAAAATGCAACTGTGATGTGGAGCCCTGGGGAGCAAGCCCATGAGCCTGGAATCCTGGATATTCACTTAATCAGTGACAGAGCTATTCCAGGATTTTCCAACAGGACCCTGATGCTGTAACCAATTTGTGTTCACGATTTCCACATCAATGCAATAAAATATATAAAATAATTTTATTATAACAAACACTGGGTGGAAATAAACAATTGTGCCCTTTTTGGTTGTGTATATAATGTTACAAAAATACTTTTCTACATATAATATGTTGGGAAACCTGCAGTTTCCACAGCACACATATATCTGGAATTCATTTTGTTAAGTGAAATAAACCAGACAGAAAAAGACAAACATGTGATGTGGCTTTTGTATCAAATCTAAAATAGGCAAACTCACAGAGGCAGAAAGTAAAATGGTGGTTGCCAGGGACTGAGAAAGGAGAACAATGGGCAGGTTATGGTCAAAATGGGCAAACATTCAGTCATGCAAATGAATAACTTCTGGAGATCCACTATAAAGAAAACTATATGTACCTAACAATATTTCACACTTGAATCTTGCTTAAAGAGTAGATCTTACCATGACATAAGAATACTGAAAGGAACATGAGGAAACTTTGAGAGATGATGGTGTGTGTATGGCCTCGATGATGGTGATGGTGTCATGGGTACACAACTATCCCCAAACTCACTGAATTGTGCACATGGAATATGTGCATAATTTGTATGTCATTCACACCTAAGTAAACTGATATTTTAAATTCTGTATATGAATGATTACAGTGAATAAATGTACATATAGTAAAACATGATTCCATTATAAGGAAAATATGCTATGAGAAAATATTTTAAAATATTATATTACAAGAATAAGCACGGAGAAATAATATACTGAAAATGCACATCTCTATTCCAAAACTATACAACAAAAGAACACCTACTTAAGTGAAGGATACTGCTTTTTCATGGATACAAAACTGTAATTTGTGTTGGTATCAACTATACTCCATCAAGATTTTCTTTATTATTAAGGTATCATTGATATACAATCTTATGCTCAGGTTTCACATCAGCAACTCTGTAGTTCCTAGATTCCTCCCATTATCAAGTCACCCCCACATACCCCATTAAAATCACTGTCCATCAGCAGAGTAAAATACTACAGAGTCACTACTTGTCTTCTCTGTGCTATATGTCCTTCCCCATCCCCCACCCCCACATTATGTGTGCTAATCATGATGCCTCTTATTCCCCTTCTACCTCCCTTCCACCCACACTCCCCAGTCCTTCCCTTTGGTAACTGTTAGTGCATTCTTGGGTCCTGTGAGTCTACTGCTGTTTTGTTCCTTCAGTTTGTGCTCTGTTGTTATACTCCACAGATGAGTGAAATCATTTGGTACTTGTCTTTCTCCACCTGGCTTATTTCACTGAGCATAATATCCTCTAGCTTCATCCATCTTGTTGAAAATGGTAGGATTTGTTTTCTTGCTATGGCTGAATTATATTCCATTGTGTATATGTACCACCTCTTCTTTATCCATTCACCTACTGATGGACACTTAGGTTGCTTCCATATCTTGGCTACTGTAAATAGTGCTGTGATAAACATAGGCGTGCATATGTCTTTTTTAATTTGTGGTCCTGCTTTTTTAGGGTAAATTCCTAGGAGTGGAATTGCTGGGTCAAATGGTATTTCTATAATAAGTTTTTTGAGGAACCTCTATACTACTTTGCACAAGGGTTGAACTAATTTACATTCCCACCAGCAGTGTTAGGAGGGTTCCCCTTTCTCCACATCCTTGCCAGCATTTGTTGTTCCTATTCTTTTCTATGTTGGCCATCCTAACTGTTGTGAGGTGAAAT